ATAGCCTTGCACCAATACGTCCACTTTTGCTCTTTGAATCATGCAAGCAAGTGGCAAGGACTTTTGTAGAGTTGTTCATGAGATTTTACCTCATCAAGATGGATGGAAGCAATATGAGCTATCTTGAACCATTCCTTTCCTTTCCTCTTTTGAAGCTTCTGGTTTAGCAAAGAACAGTCTGTAATTCTTAGAAAAGACAGGGAGTAAGGCAGCCCATCTTCTGGCAAGGAACGAAGCTCGTTACAACAGTTTATTTCTAGAGTTTGAAGCGAGGTGAGTTGTTGAAGCCCATTCTCATCCAGGCATTTTAGATTCAAAAGTCTACTGATGCGTAGAGATTTGAGATTGGTTGGCAGCAAACCATCCTCAGGAAATGACAACATTCCTTTGCATCCACCTTCAATCTCAAAATGACCAAGAGAATCCAGTTTATCTAATTCCCATGCTCTCTGTGGAGTGATTTTGTCACAAAAAGTGATGCAAAGAATATTTAGGCTGGACGGCAGGCCCCTCGATGGGAGTGACTCCAATTCCGGACATCTGTTTATGTGCAGTGACTGAAGAGATATGAGGCTTTGCATCCATCTTGGCAGAGACTTTAGATTGCTGCAGTTTGACAAAACAAGTGATGACAGCGTTGGGGCTTGCAATCCCTCTTTAGGAAATGTTTTCAAATTAGGACAATCCCTAATTTCCAAGGCATCAAGTGACTTTATATCATTCTGCAATTCCTTCTCAATTGAAAGAGATTCAAGATTTTTGCAGTCCCAGAGACTTAGAGTTTTAAGATTTGGGAGGGAATTCAAGGGGAAGGACTTGAGATGATCACAACTACTCCCTAAACATAAATCTTCGAGGATTATGAACTGGTTCAGTATCTTTGGTTGGGGAAACTCTAAGTTTCTGCAGTTACGGATGTAAAGTGTTTTCAAGGAAGTGGTTAGATGACCTTGAGGGAAGGTCTTGAATGAAATACAATCAATGATATACAATTCTTCAAAAGATCTGTCCTTTATTCCAGAGGGTAGAGAGTCTAAGGCATCACAGCTTTCAATTCTAAGGCTAAGCAGGTCAGGTGGCAAATCCGTTAACTGTGTAATACTTGAAACTTTGAAACCTGCAAAGGAAAGGAAGTGCTGCTTCCCATCTTCACTTGACACAGTCTGAATCTGATCATAATTTTTGTCAGCAACTTTTGGAATCTCAGACATCTTTGATGTTGAGGGATCATCATGCAAGTTCTTACTTAAAGAGGACGATGATCTAGAAAAGCCACCATATGAATGGATTGAAATCTGATCAGCCACAGTGGATGACAACTGTGATGCTACTTCATCATAACTTCCCAACGGCATCTTTTCATTTCTTTTCTGCAACTGATCACAGTCATATAACTTCAGTTCACAGCTCTTTGGAACCCGTGGCAGTTGAGCATTAAGCTGCTGACAGTTAGAGATTTCCAGTTTCAACAAAGATGGAAGGCACTCTGGTAAACCACCCTCCAGATTTGGACAGTTTTGTATGTAGAGCTCCTCCAGGCAGGGAAATTCAAATCCTTCTTCAAGTTCAGGAGGTATCCACTGCTCCCAACGTGACATTTCTTCAAATTTTAATCTCTTCAGATGTTGGAATGGTTTATCTTCACCATAGAACTCATGACCAATGCTGGTTACTCCACTAATCCTTTCAATAATGAGATGCTCAAGAGATGGCAGCTGTCCTAATGGTGGCAAAGATGAGCAATTGTTGCTGTCACTGAGATGCAGGAAAACGATATTTGAGAAGGAGGAGTCTCCCAACCAAGAAGAAAACTCTATGCCACCATAAAATCTAATGGTAAGGTTTTTCAACTCTTTACAAGGCTCTAGATTCCTCAATATTTCACTTTCCTTTGTTGGATCAGTGCTAGTACTGCTCCACTGCAACTGTAGTTCATTCAGATATTTCTTGGCATTCAAACTGGCCTTTGTTGCATCAGAAGCGGAGGTTACATTTTGCAACTCTGAGAGGGACAATGTTCGTAGATCTTGAAGTGTGCCCAATTCTTTAATCTGTGACCCACCACAGCCTACAATAAAATTAGTCAAAGTCTGAAGGCTTGTTAACCTGCCCATTTCGTCTGGCATCTGCACCAAGCCAGTTCCCTTAATGTGGAGATGTCTCAAGTTAACCAGATTTACTATGCCTTCTGGCAACATAGTGAGAGACGAGCAGTTTGTCAATATCAGTGTTTGCAGAAAGTAAAGAGTACCTAATGATTTGGGCAACCTCTCTAATGCACTGTGAGAAAGGTCTAAGTAGCGTAGATGCTTCAAATTTCCTATTGAAGCAGGCAATTCAGTAATTTGACAGTGAGGTAAAGACAGGGCTCGTAACTGTTTTTGTCTCACTGGAAAATCCTTCAATAAGTGAGGAGTAATTGGTCTGGTGAAGAATTAATTAGAAACAAGGTCCTTAAGGTCTTAGCTTGATCAATGACCCGAAAGTTTTCAGGAGCATCAAATTTGCCTATCATTAGTAGATGGCGTGTCCTATCAGTTAGTGCAGATTCCATTCCATTATCTAATTCCAATATTGAACAGAGCCCCTCGGATACTGACTGAGCTAAATCATGCACAAGATCATGCATTGTTATATACGAATCCCCTGATTGTTGAAAAAATGACCTCTTCAATAAGGAGTCGAAGTATTCAAAACCTACCTCTTCCATTGTGGCCCCATGGGACTGTTGTAGAAAGCCTTGTGCCATCCATAGAAGGACTAGTTTTTCCTTGTCAAATTTATTGTCTTTAGGAAAAATGGAACAGTAAGCAAAACATTGCTTTAAAAATGGAGGGAGGTGATTATAGCTCAAACGTAGAGTTGGCAGAACATCACCTACAACATCTGGTCCCCATGGTGTGCTGTTGAGGACTTGAAGCCATTCTTCCCGAGACCTTTTCAAACGCAAGACCCCCGCAATTGCTTTTACAGCCAAAGGTAGACCCTGGCATTTCTGCACAATACGCTTGCCAATGTCCTCCAGCCTTTCAATTTCACTTTTGCCTCCTCTACCTGCAAATGCGCATCCTGCGAAAATTGCCCAGCACTCATTGTCTGCCAGCAGAGGCAGATGATGATAAATGGAACAGGGCACCACACTCGCAACTTTTTCACTGCGTGTGGTTACGAGGATCTTGCCTCCCCTTGCACCAGACAAGAGAGGAGCCTTTAGGATCTCCCAATCCCTATAATTCTCAGTCCAAACGTCGTCTAAGACCAGCAGAAATCTCCTACCCGATAATCTCTTACTCAACTCACTTTGAAGTACGTTTAAGTCATTAAAATCAGAAGTGCCCAAAGTAACGTACTCAAGAATTGTTTTCATGATCTTGCGAATGTCAAAGACATCCGAGACACAAACCCATGCTCTGAGGTCAAAATGCTGCTGCACTGTGTTGTCGTTGAACACAAGCTGAGCGAGGGTGGTCTTACCACACCCACCCATGCCTATTATGCCAATCGCTTCAACACTTGCACTTGCATCCTCTGATTGCAACAGCCGCGAAACTATTTCATTCTTGTCTTTCTCTCTGCCGACGACAAAGGATTCATCCACAAAAGAAGTCGAAACAGAGTAGGATGAGACTGAAACCGTACCTTCTCTAAGGTGGTATTTTAGTCTGTCTGCAGCTATTACTTCAAAAAGAACAGCAATCTTCTCCATCTTTGATCTAATCCCTTTTCCATATCGTTGCGCAGAAGCAGACCCGAATATGCTTGCCCATGATTTGGAGCTCTTAGATGCTGCTTCCAAATCCCTTTTTATGGCATCATATGAAATCTCATCCAGCAGGTCATCTGCATCGTAGAAAACTTCTTCCAATCTCTGCAGCCAAACTTTCATGGTGATGTCTACGACCTGCTTCTCTTCTGCGTCGAGCATCACCGCTCCAACGGTCTGCAATGTGAAGAACAACTGCTCGAAGATCGCATCAGTCCTTTTGTGTCCGAATGAGAAGCCCGATGCTCGAAGAGAAGCTAATTTCTCTAACAGACCCGAGAGCGAAGCAGACACCACAACCATGTTGAACACGAACTACACAAGCGAAAGGACAAAGGGTAGATAGCAGATGAAAATTTGAAGAGAAGAAGGAGGTCAAAGAGAGAAAAGGGACCAATTTTTGCTATCTTGCTGTGGGTGTTGACCTGTCGCTGTTCAGCCTTGTGGTTTAGCTTAGCCCTGTTTCAGAATACCAGACCAGGGTCCTGTGTTTATTTGAGTTTTCTTTAGTAAAAATGGAAATGGAAAACCCAAAAGAATTAATTATAATCTCAAATAAATACACTAAAAATTATATATTTTCTCTATATTCAATCTTAAGAGAATAAGAAAATAAACTTTAATTTTCGTACGTTTTTCTCCAAATTAAATGTTTATTTTAACTTTTTTAATAAGAAATAAATTTTGACCATTATTTATTATCATTTTACTTGTAATTAAAATTTCAAAAACTCTTAAACTTAAAATTTTAATTTTACAGGTATCAAAATTGATTAAATTTGATCTAAATAATAACACATGGATATTCAATTTGGAATGTGCATAAAAATATTTTTATTAAATTTATATTTTTTTAATATTGAAAAAATAATAATATGTATAAAATTAAGTGTAAAAAACCCATATTTTTAAGATGTTAAAAAGGAAAACTAGAAAAAAAAAATGAAAAAGACAGAGTGAATAGTCTTGTAGTATAATAAAAAAATAATGCTAGGAGTCAATTCTATCCATACACATTGAACTCATTCTTACAGACATAGGAACTCTCCTGCATAACTTTATGTACAATAAAGCTTCAAAATTGTCTAGTGGATTGGATTGAGAAGCAGAAACTCAAAGCTGAAATGAAATCTTGTTGAGTTGGATGAAGCCATGCCATGAATGGGTTAAGCTCAACTTGATGGGGTGTTGGCAAAATCGAGAATGCAAAGTAAGCTGGTGCTGCAGGAGTTCTGCTGTATCAGTTTGTCTTGGGGAATTCCAGGATTGATACAGCAGAACTTTGGGCATCTACCATGGAGTTAAGTAGCTCAGAATATGGACTTGATCAATGTTGAAATAAAATCCGACACAGAAACTTCAGGCCGAGTGGCCTGAGTTTGGAGCACCTGAACACCACCTTCATGTCAACTTAATCATAGGCCTATCAGAAACATGCCCAGAATTTCGTGGCAGATTGGCTATCCAAGGAGAGCCTCAGAGTCTCTACCATCCTTCAGGATGCTGCATTATATTACTCATCTTTTATTATCCCTCTAATACGACTCATATTGATCAACCATTTCATAATAACAGAAACCAAATGCAAATGTACTGCACTATTCACATACATATAATCAAAATGAAAGAAGAATAGGAAGAAGAAGAAGAAATGTTTTCAGGTAGCATAATCCTGAAAGGCTTTCTATTAGCTTACAAAGGCATAAAGAAACAAAAAAGGAAAACAAAATTTTCTGCTGCATCCTCATAATCATTAATTATGCAGAAAAGCAAGTGAAATATTTTCCTAATATAGAATATTGCCTCATGGTAACTTTCAGCTGCATATTCATTTGAGACTTCTCATAATGGCTAGAAAAACTGTTCGAGAAATCAGAAGCTCGAGACTAAGTTATGGTAGCTGCAAAATTCAGTAGGGGTGAAGCAAAGCTGAAAGACTTGTATTGATCTGTTGGGCTTTGCTGAATGGAAACTATGCTCTGAAGTCTTAGCCATAAGCTAGAAAAACTTTTTTCTATAACTGATTATGCTGGTTTAATTTGTTGAAATTTAAAAGCTAAATCTAGGCGGTCATCAAGTTGACAGAAATTTCGGTGAAGCACAAGCAACTCTTATCATGAATCTGGGGTATCACAGTATCACTCCAGAGGATTTATTCTTTATGGATCAAAAGAATAGTAAGTACAGATACCAAGTCTAATCTTTATTTTGACAAACAACTAGTTTTATAGAAAGAAAAAAAAGGGATCTAAAGATATTGCTCTACTGGAAAAGCAAGGAAAGAACAAAACCTCTTTTTATGGTCTTTATAGTGGTTCAGGTGATTACATAGCTGTATATGCTTCATCATAAAAGAAAAATAAAACAGCTCAGAGATCATCCAGTTTAAGAGTTTCAAGAACATCCATAGTTGAAACTTGCTAACTTTGTATGTAAAAAACCTTCTGCATGATCACCTTTCTGATTTTTCTGTTTCTGAAATGGCGGTATCTTTCTCGAAAGATTTGTGATCTTGCTAACTTCCTATGCTTTTGTCATGCATACTATGTAGTAATGTTTGATTACACAGTATATGTACTTCAATATTGAGAATAAGCAATAGTAGCAAAAGAGTATGTGCTTCAAAAAGAAAAAGAAAAGAATAAATGGCAACAAACTGCAGATAGAACAATCCATTTTTTGCCTTAATTTCGTCAACTTGATGCAGAAACAACAATGAAGAACAGAAAGTAGGAAAAGAAAGGGTACGCATGAATATTGGGGGAGAAGGGGAATTTTAAATTTAACATCCCTCAGAACTTTAACTCCATTTAGTCTCCACCTACAGGGGTGATCAACTGGCTAATTCATGATCAATGATGCTGGAGTAGCCTTCCTGAAGCTTGCAAGTCTAGTTTGTTTTTGGTTTCATCTGTTGTACCAAAATGAAAAAAAAAAAAAGAAAAGGGAAAAGAAAAGAAAAACCCCTTGCAAAATAGAATTACAGAATGTCACATTTGCAAGATGGGTCCTTTGAGACAATAAATGAAGTAATATGTTATGAATTCTCAGGATTACAGCCAAATGGACTTCCGATTTCATGTTCATTTTGTCACATCATCGTGGATCTGTCAATGGACATTGCTTTGTTAGAACATCTAACTTCCCAAATGTTATCATAAGCCATGAACAAAATAAAAAAGTACGCAACCAAACCTGTAATCTGCATGTTCATTGGCATCCACTAACTTCTCTTGTGACTTAATCAACCTCACAGTGCCTGAGTGATCCCATGCCTTCCAGTCCCCATGTTTCTTGGGGTGGTAGATTCTTGCAGTTCCTAATTGAAATTGATTGGAGACTAGATGGCAAACCACCCTCCCCAAATGTAAAGAGATTTGAACAATGAACTATCTTTAGCTTCTGGAGAGATGACAACCCTCTTGCATCAAAGGTTCCCAGATCATCACAGCTCTTAATTTTCAACTTTTGTAGAAATTTGAGATCCTCATGACAGTCCGGTGGCATCCCAACAGATCTAAGAAATTTGCAATCCTGGAGTTTAAGCTTTTGGAGTTTGGTGAAGGAGCCTATTGGAAATGATAGGAGATCCTCACAGCTCTTCCTAATGCACAAACGCTCGAGCTCAGAATATTGATTTGCTCCATTCTGATGAAGAAATTCTAGTTTCTTACATTCATAGATGTCAAGTGTCACCAAGGAAGGAAGAAGGCTGGGCAAACACCCTGTCAGTTTCGGACATTTATGCACAATGAGGTGCTGGAGGGAAGGGAATGCACCATCTTTGAAAGGCAACCACCGCTGCCAATCTAGCATTCCTCGAAACTGCAAAGTTTCCAAGGATTTGAATGGCAGGACATCATTTCCATAGAACTCATCACCTACCTGTTGCACTACTTTCATTCGTACAATGTGGAGTTCTTTGAGAGAGGGTAGTTGTCCAAGAGATGGCAATGATGAGCAATTTCCACAATCAACAAGTTGTAGAGACTCTAGTTTGGAGAATAAAGCATCCCCTAACCATTCAGGGAGGCTTGTACCCCCAAAGCGTTCAATGTGGAGCTTCTTCAAATTTTCATGAGGACACAGCTTTTCAAGTACCTCAGTTGCATTATGTGTATCATAAGTAGCCCATTTGAGAATTAACTCATTAAGGTATTTCTTGTCATTCAAATTGGCCTTTGAGGCATCTTCTGGTTGAAACACATTCTGGAGCCCCAAAATCGAAAGGGTACCAAACAGTAGAGAGAGGTCCTTCAACTCACTAATCCTTGCCCCACTGTTTCTGCTCACAAAAAAACCAGTCAAAAACCCGAGACATTTCAAATTACCGAAATTTTCTGGCATCCCCGTCACTGCAGTCCCCCTAATATCAAGATGCTCTAATTTAGTAAGGTTCCCCATATTTGCAGGCAACTGTGTGAGACTATGACAATGTGACAAATTCAATGTCTCTAGATTATACAAAGAACCCACTCCTTCAGGCAAATTCTGAATATCAGTGTGAGAAAGGTCCAAATAGCGTAGATGCTTTAAGTTGCTAATTGAATCAGGCAACTTAGTTACATGATAAGGTGATAATGACAATACACGCAAGCAACCTGATACTGGAAACAAATTCTTAAGAACTATTGGAGTTAGAGAAACCTTACCGGAGTTTGATAATCTTATTGGTAAAAAGGTCCGTAAACTCTTGAATACTCCATAAAAGGCCTCAAATTTCTCAGGGGCTTCATCTTGCATAGGAATACAGGATAAATGGCGAACCCTTTCAGGTCTATGAGGTAAGCTGCCATCCTCAAACTTAAAACAAAATTCCCCAGCTACATCTTGAGCTAAGTCATTGACAAGATCATGCATTTCAAAACATGACTTGTTACAACTCGATTGCTGGAACAATGACCTTGATAATAGCTCATCAAAGTACTGTCCACCCACTTCCTCCATTCTTCTTTGGCCGTTTGGCTGAAGCACTAACCCCTCTGCTATCCAAAGTCGAACTAAGTTCCCCTTCTCAAATTCAAGTCCCTTAGGAAATATGGAGCAATAAGCAAAGGACCGCTTTAGGTGAGAAGGAAGATGGTAGTAGCTCAACCTTAGAGCAGGTAAAATGCTGCTCTTCTCATTGGGTAGATCCCATATTCTACTGTTCAACACATTGTACCATTCCTCTGCCTCCACCTTATAACGCAAGAGACCCCCAAGCGTTTTAGCAGCTAAAGGGAGGCCTTTGCATTTTTCCACAATCTTTTTACCAATTGCTTTCAAGGTTGGATCTTCACCCGAGCCCTTGTTCTTGAATGCGTATTTTGCAAATAATGACCAGCAATCCTTGTCAGGTAAGGGCTGCAGATGATGAACGAGAACAGAGCGCATGGTGAATGACACATTTTGACTGCGGGTTGTCACAATAATCTTGCTTCCAGGAGCCCCAACTTGCAAGGGTCTTCTCAGAAGATCCCAATCAACAAAACTCTCATTCCAAACATCGTCTAGGACAAGCAGAAATCTCCTTCCCATCAGTCTCTTCCCCAACGCAAGCTGGAGTGCATTCAAATCACTGATATTACAATGCCACAATATAATTGACTCGTAAATTGTTTTGGTCACCTTGAAAACATCAAACTCTTCAGAAACATATGCCCATGTTCTCAAATCAAAGTAGCTCTTCACCCTTTCATCATTGAACAAAAATTGAGCCAGGGTTGTCTTACCGATCCCACCCATGCCTTCGATTGCAACCACAGGAACTTTATCCTCATCCTTGGCAACTGATACCAGAAAATCAAGAATCTGGTCTTTGACATCTTCTCTAAAGCATACTTCCGATTCATCGACCAAGGAAGTTGTGGGCAATCTCGGGACTGGTCTCCCTCCGTAACTCTCTTTCAAACTAAGGGCATCCTTGTGTGCAGCTATGTCTTTTAGTTTCTGATGAAGATGTTCAAGGCGAGTGTTGAACTGCACTTTCTTATCTCGATCCAACCGACCCCTCTTATCTTCAGTTGCGATTGCATCTAGCAGATCCTCAGCATCATAGGCAGCGTCCTTGAGGATGTCCAACCACTTTTTCACAGAAGGGTTCTTGATTTGCTTGTCCTCAGCGTCAGCCAGCACCTTATCGACTGTAAGCAGCAGTATCTCCAGGTTCTGCCAGAGATCACGTTTGAGTTTCTGTTGCTTGAGCAGGTTCAGGAACTGAGGAGAAGCCATCTTCTCGAACAGTACACTCAGAAATGAGGAGAGAAATGCCCCTCCCACAGCCAATGCCACTTCCAAAACCATTATTCCCTTGTTCAGAAGGAATCTGTATGAGAAGAACAAATTGTATCGAACTGAGAACTCAGACTATCTCCGCAATCCCAACTTGTTTGATTTCCGGACAGATGTAAGAAAGTGGACAGCGACTTCGATCCAGGACATTGACTAAGGGTCGACTTTCATTCCATTGATTTGTAACTGTACTAAGAGTTTACTTTGAATATTGTTACCGTGATATATCTTTATAGAATTTTGTTTATTTTTGGAAGAAAAATTATAAAAATAACAAAAATTTAATCACTTACATTAATAAAATATTTCATAAAATATGAAAATTTAAAATTATAATCATAAAAATCATTAAAATTTAAATATAATAATAAAATTTAATATTGAACCATGGTATAGTGATAAATCATTTCAAATCTTTTATTGCACTCTTATGTTATGAGTTTATTAATGTCTATCACTTTATAGAGGAAACTTCATTTAAAAACACTCATATTCTCCTATTTTGGCATTGATCAACAATGGGTTGTTCCTTCTGCAAATACCCAACATTATTGGACTCGATTAAATAAGATTGAGATTAAAATCCAACACCCAATATTACTCGATTCGATTAAATAAAATTAAAATATCTTATAATCGAATTATAATAATCAGATGTTGATTTTTGACCCCTTGCCATTGTTTTTTAGGTTATTTGTCAGCTCTTGGCATCCATTAAAAGAAGCAGCCAAGGGGGACATTAAAATAGGTTGTCATTACTCTTCCTTCATGTTAAGGCCACTGCAAGAACCACCTAAGGAGGCTTCTTGCTTAAGGAGAAAATCTGGCTAACTGGCAATGTAATTCAGAAATCAAACTGATAGAAGATGAAAAAGGGTAATATTTAGACAAAAGGTTCTCTTAAAAAAGAAGCTGCTTGCTCAATATCATAACTGCTACATCATTAATTCCACCATTTTCATCATCATCAAACCATTCAATGATGGGTAACCATCCATAAATATTACATAATAAAAGTAGTCTGAATCGTTCTTAGGCATTGGTGACCTTCTCTTCCTTGCTGCTACTCTTCTCATAGTAATGATAAGCTGCTGCACCAGACAGCACCGCCAGGGTTAAGGCTTGTGCATGCATCCTATCAAAATCAAACACATCTCATCACCATGCTGATGAAAATAAGCAATTTGAGCTGAGTTCAGACTTGACAAAGAGATGGTACCTGGCATGAATAAGCCTCAGACTTGGCTTAAGAGGAGTCCTTGCACGAGTATTATAAGCCAGTGATGCCCCAATAGCCGAAGCCCAGATAGCTCCTGTAAAACACCCATTGCACCATATCAAGAACTAGTTCTAAACTCTAAACTTGCCAAGAATAATGAAACACAAAAAAGAATGTGAAAGAAAAGAATTGAACTGACCAATGCTGGTGAGCTTGTGCTCTGAAACCCAAGACTGAATTGCCTCCATCTTCTTCTCAGTACCCCCCTTTTGCTTGTTATGTGAAGCAGTAATAGTTAGAAAACTGGATAAAACTAGACTGGGATTGGGAAGCAGGAGGAGGCAGGTGATTTATAGAGAAGCGAGATGATGTTGAGATGTGTGCTTTCCACTTTTGAGTTTGGTGATGGCCCCTGGATTTCGAGTCTTTCACTTTTTCAATGGAACATTGGATAAGGTTAAACTACAGGCTTTCACCTGTCCGGTTTTCTTGGTATACATGCTTGTTTCAGCCTCCCAAAGTCTTTTTGACCTGTACGACCTAGACTCTGTGGGCCATTTGCCATTTCAACCTGAAATACAAAATCCAGGAGCCAAGAGATATTCCCATTTCGATCAGTCTCAATCTCACTTGCTGTCAGCAGACCAAATATATCTCCCATAACTCAAATGTGCGTCTTAAAATTTTAATATGATATATCAATGGAAATAGTATTACTATTTACTAAAGTTTTTTAAAAATTTTTCATGATTTATATTATGTGATAAATTTATTATTTTTATACTTAAAAAGGAATATTGAAATGATTCAGTAATGGGATAGCTAGTACAAGGAATTCAGGTGGCACCGCATTTGTTGAACATAGACAAAAAGGTTTAGCCCATAGGCTTAATTTGTGAGCTATGATCATGAGCTCCACATTTTTCTTGATATCACTAAGCCATGGAACTCAAGAGAAGCAAATAAAAAGGGGTTAGTACAAAAGCATGGAATATTGCAGCAATGCACATGGGCGATCAACAGGGAAGACAATGTGGAAACGCCGTTGGTTTAGGTTGTCTCTGTAAGCAAAGGATGTCGGTGTTTTAATACTTACCTGTTCGGAAAGTTCAGCTGGATTTCAAGATACAAACTAGACTTGTCAATATGGGCTTAGCCCATCGAGCTGGCCCATATTTAATTAAAAATGGGGTGGGTTGGGTTATAAAATTTAAGTCCATATTAAATTCGGGCTTAAATGGGCTAGCCCATTTGGGTTAGGGGCTAACCCGTGGTTTGGGGCGGGTCAGCTCGGCGGGCCAAAAGAAAAAACTTTGTTTAATAATTTTTTGTGGCTGGCTAGTGGTGGTGGGCTCATCCAACTTTTTATTCAAAGTGCGCTCCAGAGTTGAGACTTTTTCATCGCCAGCAGCTCAGGCTCAGCCAAATCCACTAGTGAAAGTTGGAAACCGGAGCTGGCGACCCTCGAAAGTTTTCGTTCTTGTTGATTCTTCATTGCCATTTGTGCATGCAGTCAATCAGGTATCTGTCTCAGACTGTATTTTGATCTGTGTTTCCATTTCTCTTGAGGCGTGGGATCGTGTCTGGGTCTAAATCTGATGACAAAAGGAACTCTGCTTGCCCATCTGATGGGTGTTTACGTTTTTTTTTCCTTTCTTTTCGAATCATTTTTCAAAAATTGAAGAAACTGGATTTTATAGTATATTCTATCTGGAATATCTATGCCTGTTGGTTAAGGTTGTATGAGTCTCAAAATCCACTGTTTTAGCATGACAGTGGGTAAGCTCAATCTACTTTTATTTCCTTTTATTTATCTATTGTTTTTGAAAAAAATGGGCTAGCCCGGCCCAACCCATGGGTTAGCAAGGGGTGGG